AAGTTAATAACCATTCACAAGCATACGTAATGAACATCATGTCTAATAAAAATACCCACAAATTTAACAATGACAAGTGATATACTTGACCAGGGCCCTCACCACCATCCCAGCTCACCTCAGCCTTCCCCACCTCCACATGCTGAAAATACCCTCAAATTAAACAATAACAAGGGATTCCTAGACCTGGTCCTTACCACCACCCCTGCTCCCTTGCAGCAACCACAGCCCCGCTTCCCAACTTCATATGCTGAAAATACCCTCAAATTAAACAATGACAAGGGATTCCTTGACCAGGGCCCCCACCACTACCCCAGCTCTTTCTCAGCCTTCCCTGCAACGACAACTCTTCCCCACCTCCCCTAGCCCTCTTCCTTACCTTTCCTACTGCCACTTAGCCCCTTATTGACCTCTCTCCAAGCCATCAACCCGAAACCCACTTCATTTCGCAGACAAAAACTCTCCATCCCAACCTCTCACCAGACAGCTTCAACAGAAATATAGACCAAAAAACCGATTTCTGAACCATTATCATCAGACACTACCATTATAGCCCCCACCAAAGATCCACCTCCAGAAATTCATCCCCACCATACACAAATGACAAGCATGGCAAGTGAATTGTATACCTAGAAGCACATAGTACTTGATCACTTCCAAAATACACAATATCTGAGAAAGCATAAAGGCTTGAATTAGGGTGTTCAGCGTCTAACTGTGGTAATTATAATTAACTAGTATTTATTAAGAGGGATTTCCACTATGGGGACTAGGGTCTTGAAGGCTCGACCTCATATTGCTACCGGTCCCTCACATTTCTCTCTTCTCAGTTATGAACAGCTTCAGAATCAGATATTTCTTTGCATTTCACGTTTATTCAAGACATTTCTCTTCACGCTTTTTTTATAATGGCGAGACAGGGTGAAACCAAACTACCTTAATAACTATCTCTACAGTAAATGCATTATCCTACCTTAGTTGAAAAACACTGTAGATTTGCATTACAGTTAAGCTGATTTACATTTTCCTCTACCAGAAGTGTCTCAGCCACAAAGCTCCATGCTATTCATTAAGAAAAAGAATAATATGATCTCCAATCCCCAAACCCAATTAGCACTAACTACTTAATGTACTTAAATGATTATCATGGCATAATTCGTGACCCCCTTAATGTGAAACATCAGAAAAATCTAGAGATAAGTAGGTGAAAAAACAAAATACGTAAGGAAATTGCTATGGTAGAATTAGTAGGATTTTGAAAAAAAAAAAAAGAGAATCAATCCCGGGATACATACAGTATACACGCCAACTTCAATACACCTCTGGGCTCCTAGTATTTGAACTAGCATTGCAAGAAGTTGTGCTTGATCAGGCGATACCTGCAGGTAATCAGAACTTATCAACCTTAATGCTAACAATTTTCAAATAAGTACGAGTATTCCAGTGTTTAGCCATCCTTCAATAAGAGAATCAGAAATTCTCCTTTCATTGGCCAATTTATTGGGAGGAATCCAAAACAGGACAAAATCAATAGGAAAACTGAATTTGACAAAACCATGATTATTACCTGCATTTGGCTACCTCGCATGGTAGCTGTCTCTTCTCTGAGCTCACGCAAAATCTGAAATGCAATACAAAACTTTGTTAACCATTAACTAATTTCGTTAAAATCTTATCTTCAACATGTGTCATTTTTCGACAACTTCCAAAAATAATATGGTGTTAACCATTTCGATATAAAAGCTTAAAAAGTTGACTTCAACAGACTTTCATAATGCAAACCGAAATATCTATCATATTGGAAACACATAATAATCGATCGAAGATAAAATTGGATGTTAACCTGTGGCTCTCTAACATTAGCCAACAAGTAATCATAAAGCCGCGGGGTGACACTGATAACTTGCTTACTGCCGTAATTTCCGTCGGCGGCAACGACCACCGGTTCTGCGTCTGCCACCGACTTGAAAGCCCATTTGCTGTGAGAAGCGGCGCCGCTGATGACAAAAGGACTCGCAGATTGGATGGTCGGAAAGAAGCGGTCGGACCGTCGGAATGCAATCGACGGCAAAGGCTTAGCCCACCGGTGTACTGCACCCCAACTGGTAGACATGGTAAACGAAGCTCCAGCAAAAATTGAGATTTATAAAAGTAATGACATTTCTGTTACGGCATAGGGTTATTATCTCATTTATCTGCAGAGAAAGTGAATTTTTTATTTTTATTTTTATTTTTTTTGAAGGATGAGTGGTTAAAAAATAAAATTAAAATTACCAATTTGCACCGTAAAATGAGTAATGATTTGAGAAAATCAAAATCAAAATCAAAATCAAACAAGAGTTCAATTCTGGTGAATGTATCTATCGAACTTAATGAAAATTGCTACAATCTTTTTCCATCAAGAGGTATGTGATGATTACTTCAGTAAGATTTGATGCCTTCAGTATTAGCGAGGCCGAACAGAGCTCATGTTTAATGGTTTTTTTTTTTTTTTTTGGAAAAATATTGTTTTAATAATGAATTTTTAAAGAATGTAAAGTTAAAAAGTAGAGAAAAATTTTAAATATACTTGTAAAATATTTATAATGTGAATACGTAATTGAAGGCGATATAAAGAAGAAAAAGTTTTTAAATAATGGACACAAATAGAGCTGAATATGGTGGTTTATTTTTTAGATTTTTTGGTAATACTAATTATTCGTATCTATGTTGGTATTATATTTAGTCTTAGTCGAGTCCCTGAATCTATTCATTTTATATATTACTAGTCGTTGTCATGTGCGTTGCATGTATTTTGTATTTATTGTATTTTTATTAGCGTCAAAATTGTAGATTTTTCAAAACTTGTTAAAGATTCGAAGTGTTTGGAGAAATTCGATCATTTGATCAGCATGTAGATCTTCATGCTACTCCACTGCAATTATTAGTTCTATTGCAATATTCCTCCATTTTCGCACATCACTCCACTTCATCAAATCCAGCCCCCGTTTGAGTCACATTATTGCAAACTGCGAATGAAAAATATAATCGTTATAGACCTTATATAATAAATAAAAAGTCAAATATGATAGTTTGATATAATTTTATGGTTATATTTTTCATTTTAATGAGAAAATAATGGGGTTCAAACAGGGTTAATAATAATATTAAAAAAAGAAAATAAATGATTTAACAAATTAATTAAAAAGAATTGCAAGCAAAAATAGGGAAAAAAAGTTACTAAAGAGTTTTTTAATTAAATTAAAACAATCAAAATTAAAAATGAATATTATATTATTTAATTAAAATTGAAAAAATACATTTTGTAGTAATCATAAAACGAAAAGAATTTTAAATCAAATTATTTATGATATGAAGATAATTAAAATAAAAAACAAATATATTTAATTAAAATTAAAAAATTACATTTTATCATAAAACGAGAAGAATTAAAAAATATATTTATAATATGAAGATAAAACAATTCTAAAACAATTTAAAAATAATTAAAAAAAATTGAACAAAAGAAAGTTACGAAAATTAAATAAAAAATAATAAATATTATTTAATTAAAATTGAAACATGATATCGTTTTTTAATCCCTTTTTACCTGTATTTACAGTAGAAAACGATATTATTTCCTTACGTTGAATCGTAAAACAACGTCGTTTTATTTCATTAATATGATAAAGGATTGAATATAAATTATATATAATTATAGATCAATATTAATTATTTAATTAATAATAATTAAATCCTGATCAATGTATGTTATGTCCACGCATTACATTAATTTTTGTTTTTTCAAAAAACGAAAAAAAAAAAAGATAAAAACAAAAATCAAGAATTCTAATCTTAAGGATTATTCTCCTCAACTCCGCATCTAGATGGTATTTCATCATATGAAAATTCAAATGTTAGAACACTGAACAAGAGATAATTTTAATTAAATAATATTTATATTTTCTTCAATTTTCTTTTTTTTAATTTATTTTGTTTTTATTATATATTTTTTCAAAATTGTTTTAAAAATTTTTCTTCATATTATAAATATTTTTTGTTCAATTTAAAATTCTTTTTAATTCTTTTCGTATTACGATATAGTTCAATTTCAATTAAATAATATTTATTTTTAATTTTAATTATTTCAATTTAATTAAAAAACTTTATAATAACATTTTTTTCCTACTTTTGCTTGCAATTTTTTTTGTTCTCTAATTTTTTAAATAATTTAGTTTCTTTTCTTTATTAGTATTGGATTAGATCAAATAAAGTAGTGTGTGAAAATTAATAAATATTGCAGTAGGGGTGATGGTTGCAATGAAGTGGAGTGTGAAAATTGAGAAATGATTGAAAATAACACGACGTCGTTTTTGCTCTCACGATTTAAAAAAAAAATGATGAAGAAGAAGAGGAAGTTGCTATAGTGTGATAAAATGGAACAATTCATTGTTCCTAACTACGGTAACTTCGGTCCTTCACATTCCCTTTTTCATATAGTAGGAATATATTTTATACTTTTTTAATTTAAATGATATTTAGAAGATTAAAATATATATTAATTATGTAAATAAATAAACAAATGAGACGCTAAATAAGAATTTTGTAATCTATGTCCCATCTCGAAAATTCATATCGGAATGGTAATGGTCTTTCGGTTTTGTACATGTCATATTATCATCCTTACTTAGCGTCATGAAAGTAACGTCTTTCAAACATGTTCAATCCTAAAATATCTCAACACAACCTAAAATTGAAACTTTGTCTAAATATTAACATTAGATATATGAATATTGGTCTCAATTCAAGTTTAAAGCAATAAGAATGGTACAAAGTTCAATCGTAACAAATGTCACATAGTAAAGTTTGACCACAAAAATATGTGAACACAATTGTTCAATTCAATTTAAAATAATTTTAAATTATCGAAACCCCAACTATCCATCACCATGAATCATGAAAGGTTGAATAATATAAAGCAAGATTTTGGCTGTGGAAATTCGTCCTGTTGAATTATAAAGTAGATCTACAAAGGCAATCCTTCTTAGTTGATATTTGTCTTCTTTTGGCACTTTAGCCGTGGACAACTTGGAATCCAACAAGCGATTAAGTCCCCGTTTCGCTCTCATTTTGTGGCAATAAAAATGGGTGAAAGAGTGCTTTTTTTTAAAAAAAATGAGTGGTTAAAAAAAAAAAGTTTTCAATTTACGTGTAATATAATTTTATAGAAAATTGCGTGGTTGAAAATAGGAAAGAGAAAAATGAAATATAATAAAATGAAAATTAATGAGAGCCAAAAGAGATAAATAAATCATTAAACAATTAAAACGTATCACTCCTTATTTTGCTCATATTTTGTTGTAAGCAATATTAATATAAGGGTGTCCCTATTTACAGTCACAATTTTTATATATGCATCTCACTTTACATACATCTCTATTAAAATATTAAAAAAACTATTTTCATTCATGTCAAATTTTAATATGAACCTTAACTTGTGAGCACCAATTACGTAAAATAAAATAATAATAATAAAAATAACTTTCTGAATTACTAGGTGCTCATGAGCACCAATTACGCTATGTCGTGCTTCGTAAGAATTAAAATTCTGAATTTAATATTAATTAAGATTAATAATTAATTTTAATCATAAATTTTAAGGTATCCAAAAATCTCAACCACATATTTATAAATTTTAAATAAAGATTTAATTTATTTCCTATCAAAAACACTAATATAATTAAAAAAATATTTGTAAATAAGTTCAAGTTAATTATTGCCACCTAAACTATGGTTGTCATTTAAAAGCCTCAGTAGACCTTTAGCTGTCAACGCAATAAGAGTGGCTTTTTGGTTGTTTTCAAGACGAGTAATTGGCACAAAATATCCTTACTTTTCAACTTTATTGTGAAAAACGTTCACACCTTTCATTTTTTGACATTTTTATTCCTATTTCCACCTTTCATTGTGAAGAAGCTCCTTTTCGTTCTTTTTTCCAATAGAATGAAAATTTTACCTCCAATTCAAATAAAACAAAAAAAAAAATCAATAAATAACTAATTGCAATCGCATTCCTAAATTTTTAAAAACATTACATCTTAGTACTAAATTCTCCTCTACCACCACTTTTACAACCCAAACACCTTTCGGCCACCATACCCGTCGGACTCTACCACCACCAGCCTTGCCTCACTCTCCCCTACCTCAAACCCACCTGAATTTGTCGAAAAAATCAAGCCAAAATCTCTAAAATTCGACAGTTATAGGTTTATGAAGAACATCATTTGACTCCAAAATTCGGCAAACAAGTGCTGTAATTTCTGCAATTGAGCTATTACCCAATGCTTTTTTACCTTGAATTTGATTTCTCCCATGTTGATTTGTGTATTAAATCACATTTGAGCCATGAATTGAAGGAAGAAAACCTTTTTCACACGAGTAGGTTGTTCATTGGAAGAAAACCCATAAACTGTCATTTCCAGGCCAAATTGGGGACGACCCATATGTTCATTGGATGCGCCGTGAAGAGTATGTGCTTGTAGTGGTGGTCCGCGATCATGGGTCCCACCACTGTCACCTGGAAATTCGTCTGAAAGTTGCATAATCTCTGTGTTCGAAGACAAGCCTGCTGGTTTTGATTCCATGTGTTTATGGATGATTAATTACCATGTAAAGGGCGCCTTGATGTGTATAATTCCTAGAATGTTGGGCATGTCATGGGTTTCGTCGGAATTGGAGATTTTGGCTTGATTTTACCGAAATTAGCTTGATTTTGTTGTCCAAATGGGAGACTTTGGCTTGATTTTTCGACGAGTTCGGGTGGATTCGAGGTAGGGGAGAGTGATGTAAGGTTAGTGGTGGTGGAGTCCTACGGATATGGTGGCTGGAAGGTGTTTGGGTTGTGAAAGTGATGGTGGAGGAGAATTTAGGACTAAACTGTAATATTTTGAAAATTTTAGGACTATGATTGCAATTAGTTATTTATCGATTTTTTGTTTTATTTGAATCAGGGGTAAAATTGTCATTTTATTGGAAAAAATGACGAAAAGGACCTTCACCGTAATGAAAGATGAAAATATGGGCAAAAAATAAAAGATGAAAACGTTTTTCACAATAAACTTGAAAGATAGAGACGTTTCGTGCAAATTACCATTTTCCAGTAACCCAAGGTTAAAATTATGAATATACCAATCTCATCTTGATAAACCCCATAACCACTTCACAGTTCTCACACACCCACTTTCCATAACGACGGAGCTTC